AAGGTCTCGATGCAAGCACGCGATAGGTCACGTGGACTCCAGCATGGAAGATAAGACGGACCGACAGAACCGTGTTTGATCATCAGTGACTTCATTTCCCGCTTCCAAGTTAAGTTTTGTCAAGCTCGATCCTCGCGCTATCCTACATCTGACAAACAAATTATAGTCCAAGGATGAATCCGCATTGTTTCCAACCGCTCGTATTGCTGAGCGGCATAAAGTTGAGTAAGAAAATTGATTTACACTCTCGTTTATCTTCTTTCTATCTGATGACTTTGGAATCGGCCACAACTTCCTTCGGGGAAGTTTTGAGATCTCGCTTGGATTGTTCATTTTTCTAGCTACCACTTACCATTTCCCTCGACCTTTCTTGTGCAACTTTTAGCGTTTTTTCCCGCTTCTTTGTTTCATTTCCTCTTTGCTTTTTACTGCATCACAGTTTCAATCCTTGATCATACTTATTCCTTTGAACTAATTTGAACCGTTTATCCTTCTGCGCTAACTTTTCATTCGGACTACCCAGTAGTTGCTGTTTGCTGGAATTTGCTCTAGTCGATGTGAACTTTCGCTTTGGCATTGATTGTAGACCGGTGATATCAACTCTATCACTCTTATCCGAGCCATTTTCTCAGAATTTCGCTGATTTTGTTTTTCTGCGTTCTTCTTTCACCTAACCTGTACCTATCAACACTGATTGAGCTCCGATTAATGGCGAGTGGTTAATATGACTTCCGCAGGCAGTCCTAATGTTTGACATCACGAGGCAACGTCAATCCGAGATCAACTCTATACATCAGCAGTACGGACGCTTCGCTGCCGCGTAACCACCATCGGTCGCACGCGGCCTAGCGATACTGCGAGAGTCGCTCGGTCCGTACGAAGGGTGGAACCCGCGCCGTCAGATTAGAAGGCAGGCTTGTGATCCTTAAGGCCACTGACCGGCAGATAAACTCCATTGACTGATTCCATTCTTTTGAATGTGCTGTTCGACTTCAAACTGCAAAGTGCTGTCACACGGCCACCAACTACGTGATAGTTCCTTTGGCTCTAACAACTCTTAACTGGAAATAGTTTATCAAACCACCTATGTTAGCAACAGCGATGGGCGTATGACTGCGTCAGCTGCTTTCCACTACATCATTGATGTTAAAGGAATTGCATATGAGTCAGTGGCGAAAGCCATTCTCCTCTATGACAGCGTGCCATGGTCTCTTCGATCCGAGAGTGGGGAACGTCCTCTCTCTTTTCATCGTCGCTGCTTGTGTCAGTGGCCGTGGTGTATCCGCAACCTCGGATTGGGCTCATCGCTTACTTAGATGGACTATGATTTGCCTTCTCTGTGTAAGATGGGACTGGGCTCGAGGAATCCAAGCTTGACTTGATATCGGAAGAAGATGAACGAAAAAGGCATCAGCGGTACGCTGAGACGCAATACCGACGCTTCGCTGCCTCACAACCACCACTAGGCGCACTTGGGATAAGGCTACTGCAAAAGTCGCCCGTTTCCCTACGCAGACTCGAACCTGCGACTTTAGGATCACAAGGCACATTTGTGATCCTTAAGGCCATGGACAGCTGCCGGTTGAAGTAGGTATTGTTCCGTCTCACTTACGAGGTGGGAATCTACTTCACTCACTTTTGTGTTTGGCTTTAGACTTGCTCGCGGATTGCACCTCTGATTCGCTTGCATGTATCTCATGGTTTTATTGACTATTTTACGACACCCTTTCATCTATGCAGCAGGTTGGCAGTGAAAACTCAGATGTGCTGTTCTGTTTTTTGCTATTTTTCTAACTATACACCTATTTCGATGTATCATTGAAGTGTCGAAGCTTACATACTAGATGTTTGCTCCAAACGTCCAGCTCCTACATTACGCACGGTCTCTCATTAATGGGTTCATCATCATCATTGCACATTAGCTGAAGATGAGAAACACACTACGACTATTGTGCCGCAATACTTAAAGATCAGACATCCGAAAAAGCAATATTCTGAACAATATTGTATGCAAAAAAGGCGACACACTACCTAGGAACATATTACGCGTCAAGAAGGAGGTCGTGGTTGTAGAGGGAAGGTAAGCAGTATTGGGCGAGACAAAGCAACAACAAAAATGCCATTGAGGTCGGTCCCTTGCCATGTCAACTAGTGTATCCAACCGGACGTATTCATCATCCTTCGGACCCCACCCAGATAGTCAGTACACACCAACCGACGCCAACTTCGAAGTGGGAGATTTCATTCCTGCTGATCACCTCATCGCTTGACCAACCCACTTCCTCTTCTACCCGCACCCGTGAAGCGCAAACAACGCGCAACACGTGGCCTGTAACTAACGGAGCCTGGTGCGTGATATAACGGTGCTGAGCGGATCACTCGCTCTTCCTGCACGAAATACACGACGCCGCTCACGGTCGTTGTTCATGCGGTGTTCCTACCAGACATGAGCTAAGCCTTGGCACAACTTAATGACCTACTGCAATTGATGAGTGCTGGGTAACACATTGTTAAATAACTTGTGAGGAACGACTGGGTGGAGTCCAGCAAACTCATGCTCTTTATCTTCAGTTATGCCGCCATATTTTTCCTACTCTTAGGACATCTCGTTCCCATTTATTGTTTCGATGAGTGTTTATTACCGTGGCTGACAAACTCGTCTCAAAAATTACCACACGGCTTATATGCTTGTTTTATACTCAGTAGTGTGTTTTATATTGGGAGTGACACATATACACAAGCGGTTTAGCAACCTGGTGCTGTGTATGATAATACTGAGTACTAAATACTGTATTATAGAGCAAGTAGAAGTGAATTCTGTACAACTCTTTCGAAATATAGTGAAAAACGTTATAAAATTTGCCAACCGCGAATATCGTTGTCGTTCTCATGTAACATTTAAAATATCTGACTTACGATATTTCAGGACTCACAAATGTGATATGTCATCGTAAGTGTGCAATCGTTCTCTGAATCGAATAGTGGTAAAATATAAATCGAACAACGTTTTGAACCTTTGTACAGATGTTGCTTCAATCACGTGTTCAGGTAAACTGTTCCAAATGTTTACCATTCTTCGTTCGAAGCACAGTGGGTGAGGAACACATTTCACATCCGGCACGACAAGCTTGTATCTGTGTCCGCGTGTGCTGCATGGCCCTCGTAAGTGCAGCATTGGTCTCAACATGGGGAAGTCACCGAGATGTAGACTACGGTAGGTCATAATGAGGTCGACTCGCATCCGACGGTAGGACAAGGTGTAGAGTCCTAGTTTCTCGCACCGGTCTTCATACCCCAAGCCACGTAAACTCGGAATGAGGCTGGTAGCAACGTGTTGGACCCGTTCGATCTTTTGTGCCTCGCCTCGGGTAATCGGAAAGTAGGCGGGCGAACCGTACTCTAGCATTGGTCTAATGATAGAAGCGAATAAGCGAGCGGCAACCTCTTCAGACCATGTGCCGAAGCTACGTTTGAGCGCCCAAAGCATGCGCAGTCCGTTACGATATAGCTTGTTCGTGTTGTCCACGGACTTTAAACCGTAGCGCGAGAGTACACCTAGGTCCTTCACCGAGGGTGTGGGATATAACGGTTGGCCGTCAAGGGTGTAGGTTCGGTAATAATACTAACAATTGGTATATTCCTCTGCAAGTTAGAAGCCGCATCGGTATTTGGCACAAACCACATATGTACCGGTTATACCATGCTCTTGCATACTCAGTATGAAGTCATGGTTCTTAAAGACAAGAAAAACAACAACGGCGCATACTTGTGCGGAGCACTGTCCAGCTGGATGATACGTTCATGATGTACAGGGGAATCACATGGAGCATATGTTTTTCCCCGCGTTTTCCATAGCAGTTCTCAAATTACTTTTTGACTGGCATGGCTAGTTGATCAGGTGAATCTTTCGAGAAGATTGATAGGTCCTCGAAAAAATAACCATACTTTAAATGTACAATTAAAGTGATACGGCCATCCACGAAACCGTCTCCTGAGGACCTGCTTCCATGCGGGGTCTTTTCTCTGTGGATTACACCGGCACTTCCGTGCCCCATCAGGCCGTATGTCCATGTGGCTCTTAAAGCAGCTAATCCGTCACTTGTTTTTTTGTGTATAGTGTAGACACTGAAGCCATCTGGCCCGTAGCATCGAACGCGTTTAAGAATCAAGCACTTTTTCTCGCCCGGGAGCCAATAATAATGCGCATTGCATTGGTATACGTATTATCCTTGGTAGCTTCAATTCTTCATCTCAGGAGATCGACCCAGTCATGACCAACAATGAAATAAAGAAGAATATGAAGTGTGTGGAGGCAGAAGTATAGTAACAGCAATGATAGCTACTAAAGAAATGACGTGTTCCGCTTCTACGTAAGAAAGTCTGACCGTTCGAATTGTACTGGGGAAGTGTCCAATTACCTATATGCAAGAGTGTTCTGAAAAGAATCTTGGGTTCATCAGTTGCATGCGATCGAGGAATGCAGAAATTGATATCGTTGAGCAGTGAGACTTCGATCTGTTTCTGGGCTGTGCCTTCGAAAAAGAAAAAAAAAACTTGATGGTACGAATGTAAAAACAAGTCATTTGCGAACAAAAATAATAGCATACTTCATATCTGGATAATGAGAGACATAGACTGTGTGATTAATCCGATTGAATTCGCAATTGGATCGTCAAGAAGAGTTTGTGTTCAAGCTGTTGGTAGGAAAAGTGGCTCCGAGTCGCTGTGGTGTGTGTGGGAAGTGACATCGACGGAATTCAGTAATCACTCATTTCGCATGAATTTTGTGTACCCAAACAAGTTCCTCCTTTAAACTGCTGCGACTTGTGTTTAATACTCTTTAAAATCACTGTAAACTGCATTGGGTTGTTTATCATTTGACTCTCTTCCATATTTTGCTTTGCAATTCACTTCCGTGCCAAATTTGATTAATGTGGGACATTCTACACTCGTTGTTCTGTGCTGGCCCCTAACTTCCTCCTTATCTTTCTTTATTGAAGGTTCAAGTTGAGGTAGACGCACGCTTTGTGCAAGACCAGTTGCGTGGTGACCAAACTAATGAAATCCGCGTGAGGTTCATCAGAAGAATCGATGAAGTCGTCGCTGGTGAAGACTAACCGAGTGCAGTGGCTTGCTCTCTAATCTTTCTCCGAATACATATTTTTGTCTTGCATATTTCGTTATTTTTATCTTACTGTGCCATTTATAAGTAGCTAATTAGTTTTAACCTTTCAGAAATGAGCGTCAATTCATATTCTTCCTCTGCTCCCCCAATTATGGAGGGTTGGTTAATAAAAGCACTTCGCTTGGTCTATTCAAAAAACCCGGCTGATCGGGAGAAACTGCGAAAATTGTACAAAGATGCTTGTGAAAACGAATCCCAAGTGTCTCGCATTACTGTCGCAGAAGCCCTCAGAGAACCTCGTGATGCCAACCGATCAGATACGTCGGAGGTTAGTTGCAATTGTTTTCTTTTTGTCGAGCTTTAATTTGCTATGTTGCCCCGTGTAGTAATAACTATCACGATTATCTTCACATTAGGGGCATCATATTAGTGAATCTCTCTTCAAACAAATTTCTGATGCTTTAGCCACTGCAGAGGATAATCAACGGTGCCCTATCTGCTGCATCGAGCAGGGTTTGGATGCTACTGCTCAAGCCTTCCCGTCTTCTTATTCCCCTCTTACGCTTTTTCACCATTATCGTCCCGTTCCAGCTTCACTTTTATCCCCCACTGTTTTCAACCCCCCAATTCTCGGCCCTCCCCACCTTGCTTCAATAGTCGCTTATCTTTTAGTTTCAACTCACATGCGAATGCGGGGGGTCATTCCTGCTCTGTCAACAGGCCCATGTCCAAGCAAGCGATCAAGCCCAGTTCATCCGCTTCCATTTGGAGCCGTAGATCCTCCTTCAGATGGGCATATCTCAATGTTCGCACATTGCTTCAGATCGGTCAACAGGCAGCACTTGTCCGAACATTAGAGATCCTCTCGATCGATATCGGCTGCTTATCGGAGACCCGCTTGCAAGACTCAAGCTCTGTGTTCACTCTGCGATCCCTTTCGGGTGACAATAGCAGCACTTTCTCATTGCGCCTATCCGGTGACGATACAACTTCGAGCACCGGCCAAGCTGGTGTTGATATTGCCCTGAGTCCCCGGGCTTAAGCTGCTCTGGTTGATTGGATTCCAATCAGTAGCCGGATGTGTGCGGTCCGATTGGCTGACTCGTTCAAAGCTTCGAAGTCGCGTGTGACTAACAGGTGTCTATTTGTTATTGCTGCATATGCACCGACAAACTGTAGCGATGACTCGGTAAAAGACGACTTCTATCGTCAACTGAACGAGCTCCTTAGCCACAGAAGAAGCTCGGACACTGTTGTGCTGGCTGGGGATCTGAACGCTCAATTTGGAACATTATATACTGCTAAGCTGCATCTGGGCGACCAACATGGTGTAGACTCTCGTAATCATAACGGTGAGCGGTTACTTCATTTGTGTGAGGATGCTCGCTTACTTCTTGCGAGCACTAATTTCCGACACAACACCCGCCGGAGGGTGACTTGGCGCCCACCAGCCTCGAACCAGCTATGGACGCAAATCGATCACATTGCGATAAGTTATCGATGGAGATGCTGCGTCCAGAACTGTCGCTCGATTTGGAGCACAGGTGTGGAAACCGACCGTGCTGAAATGCGGATGCTCTTTGGCGGACGCCCACGACGATTTTGTGAGCGCATTGACACCAGTGAACTTGCGAAGCCAGCTGTTCTGAATGCGTATCGAAGTACGCTGTCATGCGTGTTGGATGAACGGTCATTGGACGCAATTGAAGGTCACTGGTCACATGTTCGCCAAATTTTACTAGCAGCAGGAAAATCCTCATGTGGTATGTTTAACCGCCAACATGGACATTGTGTCTCTTCACGGTCTCTGGAACTTATAGACACGTTTACTGCAATTGTATCATTTTGGATCTTTTGTTTGAATTACTCTTCCGATAGTTGAAGGTTGATCAATTCACATTTCTTTTTCAGAAAACTTCCTTTCATTAACCGCGCCTCTTAACATTTTTAGAATCAGTGTTCTGTGTGCTGTTGTTTCCCGATCATTTTGCTTTCGGCCATGTACTAGTGCTTTTCACTTGTGCTTCTCTGCTGTTTGTCCGTAGACAGTTGTATGCAGGCTGGGTTACTGCTGGAACACATCTAAGCCCAAGCTAAAACGGAAGTCAGAATCAGGACGGTTGTGGATCGCTACACCACATCCCGAGTTGAACACCCTAGCCATGTATGGATTTTTGCATCTCTGTGGCATCTCAGCTAACGTGTAACCACTTGCGGTTGCACGATATCGAAATAATAGTCATATTAATGGCGTGCCGTTCTACCATTTTTTCTAATCCTCATGGCGAATGTAGCGAAACACCAGAGTTCGCGAATATGACGTTCAATCGCTTACGCAGTCTTGCTATCCCTATTGATTTATTCACTCAGGCAAGCTCCTCTTTTATCGTAACTGTCTAACATGGCCTTTTGTAAGTAATCCATAGTCAAAGTCGCTTAAATCTCGATTTTGCTCCAGGTAACCATCTCCATTCTGCACTTTCCAAATCTTACCTAATATTGTTGCGCGCAATTGGCGTTCGTGCGGCACTAGCTACAGTTTTCGATGTAGATTTACATTTTCTGCAGCCTCTGTGGTATGTCTTCTCTGAGAAATCACGTTTACCGTTGTTGATATCGTTTGTTATCCATAACCGTTATATATATATATATATATATATATATATATATATATATATATATATATATATATGGGAGTGTGGATGTATGCGTGAGTGCGAATAACGACCTAATAGTACACATAAAGTCATGGAAAATCATGGAAATTAAGAGTTATGTCACCGGATCTCAATGCATTACTCGATTTATTTTATTTCATCTTGTCGTTTCAAATGGTTGACTGTTGCTTGATATCCCCCGTGTGGGTGCGCTTGATGTGCATGTTGACAAGGTGCCTACCTGTCTGTTACCCACTACCTCGTCTATACTGGCTCCAGGAGACAGTTGGTCGTTTCTGGAGGGGGCGGGGTGCACGGTCCTCGTGGCCTTGCTGAGATCAAAGAGTGGTTCCATGTACTCACTGTGGAGCGGACTACGGTCCAGCCACCGCCTTGTGTGCACTTGATTCCCAACTATAGCGTGCTTGTGTTTGCCTCCGGTTCTAGCACAAAAGATTTTACCCCCAGTCAATCGCGCTATCACGTCTTTGAGAGCGGACACCATGCATCTTCTTTGTTAATCTGGCAAATCTTGTTGCTGCTGCCGTGTGCAACTCTGATGGCGATTTTACTAGATTTTGACAATCTTTCATCTGTATTTTAATCATCTGCATCTAACCCGAGACCATTTTATGTTTTCGTTGCGCATTCAGAATTAATGTCATGTTTTCCTACATCTCATGGCATCCTAACGCTGCCTTGTTAGCGCAATGAAGTGTGCATTTTGCTCCACGAGAGTCTGCATTCCAAATTGTTTGCATCTTTCCATTCATTTTCTGTGATTTTGATCGACCCTATCTTCCGGTACATCTACAGCGATGGCGTGAATTGAATTGAAAACGCATATTTTTCTTGGTACATAGAAACCGTGTCCACGAGTAGACGGATCGTATCTAAAGGTACAACGTGCTCACGCCTACACTCAGGTGTGCAAAGGCTATTTTTTCCTGAATTTCCTGGCTTCACTATGTATGTACGTCGGTACATCTTACCGACTCTTCCTTGTCGCGCAAACCACCACCAGCCGCGCGTGGGATAAGGATACTGTGAGGATCGCCCGGTCCCCTACGCAGACTCGGATCGGTGACTTCCGGATTACGAGGCAGACGTGTGATCCTTTCGTTTGGCGGCTCCTTTTTGTACCATTGTTGAGTAAATCTGTATTCGTCTCCTCAGTCATACTCGCTGTGTGAATAGGTGTTTGTGTAGGTGAACTGTCGTTCCTACACGATTTCGGGGTTACGATTATAGATAATGTCACCTGGATCTTAGCACCACTATGCGGCTTGCTTTTGAATGCCATCGTTTTGACCAATAGCTCCCTTAAAACTGTAATTAGTCGTTTCGCCGCGCTCCGTTTTGCCTAACCCTCGAGAGCCCTTGGATACTGCGGCTTTACTTTCTATCCCAAGCAGTGCGTCCCATACCCAAGTTAATCCAGCCAGCAAATCGGTTTCGGTTGGGTTTGTGAACATCACTAATCCATCATGCGATTCCTAGTCTAGCCACTCGCACTTACAATTTCTGTGTAGCATTTGTTCGTTTCCGTCTCTCTCTCTGTCTTCGTTGTTACGCGTTGATGCTTTTTTCATTCATGACTTGCACAACCGCATACGTTGTGTTGGCTTTTGCCAGCCAAAATTTGACGGGTGCGGTGATGCAGTAATTTTGTGTTCCGATTGGCGCCACTTCTGTGAATGTGTTGTTGGAGCCTGGACCCAGGTGTTCTCCAGGCCACTGACCGGGTGCTCTCAGCTCACACAAAATGTTTTTCGTTTTCTCTCATTTGGTTTTATGTGTACTTGTGATCTTTCCATGCCTGCAACAAAAGCGCAAATATATGTAGTTTATTGCTAATTTTTGCTATTCACCCCAAATCAAGCTTTCAGTTGACTCGGTTACCTTCGTTCGTTTCGTTGTAACGAAATATGTCGTTAGCCAGATCGCAAAATGCCCGAATTGCCAGTTGGAAGGATTATCATTTATATGCATAAGACGCCGAATTTCAAACACATCATCCGATCACCAGTGTTGTGTTGTGCTTTCTATTCCGAAAAATAGTTCACACAGAGGCATGCTATCATCCTGTTCCAATCCTATACTGATCACCTCGGGTTTCCAGGTGACCCGTTTCAGAGTAGGCGAGAAAATACCTGCTTTAGTAGCCTACACAGTTGTCTTGTTCGATCATTGAACTTCAACTGACTGACTTACTTCCGCATCAACATATCTCATCAGTCATGAAACACTATTGCCATAGCGTGGAAACATCTGATATATTCATCTCGCTGCATTTTCCCGCTGATCGTCACGGCGTAGTCGTTTCATTAGAGGCTAAGGTAGTTTTCGTTTCGCTACGTATTTGCACTTTATCAAGTTTTGCTTCATTGTTGCTTCTGAATTGAAAACCATCTTCAACTCATCTGCTCGAGATAGCTTACGTTGCTGCGTATCCCGGAAATGGGTCCCGAAGAAACTCATTCCTGTCCTCCAGTTTCTCTTCCGTAACGACCGAAGCCGAGTGTGGTTCTGTGTGGAACAGTCTTCAAAGGTTAACCTGTATCCATTCAGTTTTGTGATAGAGCTGGTACTGGATTACTTTCTTCTCACCAATCTCTTCTGGCTTGGAATTTCTACGGGATGGCCAAATATAAAAGAGGATGCACGGATATATTTGCTCTCGTTGGATTCATTCTAACCCCCTGAACATGAGTTGTGAATGGATTAACACAGACCACTGCACGTCTCGACATATTCTTTGCACACCCGATGTGCAAGGGATTGTTGTAATACTTGGCGGACATGCAAGCTCTTCGTGCTGTCATCGAGCAACCACTCAAGACGGTCCGTTGTCTCATTTTTTTTAGAGATATGAGGCATCTCATCGTCGTATCATTGAGAAGGTTGCTTCATCTATCAACGCATATATGGCTTTCCACTATCTCAGGCTTGTATGGCGACAATGGGGCATCAGAATCTTAGTCAGGAGTAGAGGTTGCAACGCTGCCGCGCGGCTTAGTTACGCGATGAATCAGAAGCGATTGCAGAGTACTGCGTATATTTAGTAGTAGCTGCACCAAAACCATGAATACGGTTTGTGGTGAACATCTGGTTCCGCACACCGACTCCCTTAACCTTCACTGTTTTGCACAACCGGGGTGTGGATAGAAGGAGAGCAAGGGAGGCCGCATGATAACTTGCTTAAGAGGATAACATTGCAGACCCATAGTTTGAAGTTGGTCTCGGTTGGAGCCTCTCAACTCCCCAGTTGGGGCCGGAAAAACAATGAACACGTTTGGTTGGATAAACTTGTTGACTTGCTAAGAACTGACCTCAGTTGCACTTGTGTGCTGAGTTTCTTTGTCCCTCCACTCCAATCACGATTTCATTTTGGAAAAATAACTAATGGCAAAATAATCGGTTGTTGAAACGATGTCCATCCGTTACTGGTGGCTCAACTGGTATGCCTATTTTGCGTCTTTTTTCCCCTCTTTATTATGTTGCTGTACAGTAGGTTTGTTTCCCACCTCTAGCTAACGTGTATGATGATAATGACGACGACGACGATGATGATGCTGAGAATTATGATGACGATGATGATGGTGGTGGTGGTGGTGGCGGTGCTGATGTTAAGAGTGATGTGGATGATGATGAGGATGATGACGATGATGATGATGTTGGGGATGCTGATGACGATGGCGGTGGTGGTGGTTGTGGCGTTGATAATGTTGAGGATGATGCGGATGATGATGACGACGACAGTGATGATGGTAGTCGTGATGACGATGATGATGATGATAATGAACACTGCGACCGAAGCGAGTAGAGGTGCCTCTGTGTAGCTGCATCTAATATCTTTTAGGCCAATCAACTTATTATGATGGTGATTATTATCGAAATCTCAAGTCGTCGAAGCGCGAGTCCAGGAGTTTCTTGAGCTCCGCAACCGGCATTGCGTCGACTATATCTGCAGACAGTTTGTTCCAACTACTCATCGTCCTCCTCTCTAAGCAGAGTTGTTGAGCGACCCGCGCTGCAAATCCAATACTACGAGCTTGTATCGGTGTCCTCGTTTGCTGCTTGATGTGCGCAGATGAAGCCACGGCCTCACCATGGGGTAATCACCTAGATGTACAACCCTAGTCTCTTGCACCGGTCTTCATATGGCACACTTCGTAAACTGGGGATAAGTCTTGTGGCCACATGCTGTACCCGCTCAATCCTTTGCACCTCGCCTCGGGTGAGATGTACTCTCTAGCATTGATCTGATGATAGCAAAGAAGCGGTGGTTGGCAACGTCTTCGGACGATGATGATGATGGTGATGAATTAGTCCCTTGTTCTCCACTGCTCGCTGTACGCAAACTTCTTGGTATACCCGTCACTTGCTCGCTTGGTATGCTCATAGCTTGGGGAAATAGTTTTGTGGCCCGTTGCCGATGTCGCAAGAAGCCACAAGGGGCATAGCTAAGAGCTAGTGACTCCCGTCCAAATTGCTTCTGGATCAATTAAATCAGTGACTTGGGACCTTATCCTACGTGGTATAGCCTCCGAATGCTTATGTATTCAGATTCTTGTTTATAGATATACTCTCGCCCAAAATGTTGTTTACTTGTCTTCGGGCACATCGCACTTCATACTTGCGTGGGCACGGATGATTTCGCAGTATTCAAGTCTTCATGTAGCCATTAGCGTTAGCGCGACGTCGATGTCTGGTTACGGCCTATTGTGGAATGACTATTAGTTGAATGTTCTTGATTAATGGCCTCATTTGAAGTGCCTCTGAGACACAGCGTTATCATACCATGAAAGTCAAACTTTCTTTTAGTTTTAGAACGGCCGTGATCGGTAGTCATTAATGTATGTTGTACTATTTTATTCACTGGAATGAAGGAGGGATTTTAGTGTTTCCTTATCTTCCTCTGCTCGAAATTCACGCTCAGCACTAAAGTGGGATCTGAACTATATCATTGCTCTGGATTCTAGTCTTTTTACCTCATTGACTGGCGCGGGGTCTCCTTCGGCCACTGAGCGTATTCAAGAGTCAAACAGATCACTTGTTACTGTTCATTTGCTTCTCCATCACTGGAAATGTCTTCTGTGTAGTCCCATGGATGGAATAAGGGCGCCGGTCCGTAAGCTTAAGAATCGCAAGCTTCTCTTGTACTCTGAAGACGCATGTTCGAGCCAGCGTTGGGAACAGGGCGACCTTCGCCGTTTCCTTAGCCCGCTTACGACCGGTGGTGGTTGCACGACAGCGAAGCGTCCGTACTGTCTAGTCTGCTACCCTATTGCATCCGTCGTCCTGTCATCCATCCCCTATTATTTCTGCCTTCCTCAGTCCAGCGTATCTGCAGGGAATAGTAACCAATCGCAATGGTTGTCTTGGTCTACTCATCCACCGTTACGTAGTCTCACGAAGTTCAATCACCTTCAGATTGGTTCTTTCATCGCGACATACTTCTGTGTTAACTCTACCGGTAATCTATCTAGCACTTACTTCCGACTCTGCTTTTCTCCTGGCTCCCGCTACTGATGGCTATTTCCATGAGTGTCTTGGATTTGTCATTTTTTGTACAATTATATTTGTTGGCGTCTTTGATCCCTCTCACACGTTTTCCTACGCTGGTGTATATATCCTTCATACAGGTGGAACCTTCCTCTTCGACTGCCTCTCGAGTTCGAATTGGCACAACAGGTGCATCTCAGGCCCCAATACCAGTTGCGGCCATTTCCACATTCGCCGCGAGTGTCGTCGGCAGCACCATGTCGATTTCATCTTCTGGTGCCTCGCAGACTGTTCACAGTCCCACTGTGCCTGTTCAGTCCCCAACACCTTCATCGACAGCAGCGAAGACTGCCAAACGCACCAGGGTTGCGTTTTTCAACATATTCGATGCGGCGGGTTCCGGCGCCTCGAGACCAGCGACATCTGCTCTCTCAGCCTCCAAATCCACCACCCTCGTGACCAATCCTGACGCATTGGTCATTGATTTGACAGGTGAGATGTGTGCTTGAGTGTGTTGCTTTTGCCTCTGAAGGGTTTAGACGCCTCACTAATCTAGTGGTTTATGTTACCAATGTGTTCGGTAGTTTGCTGGTCGTTGCGCAGCTTCGTCCCACATATCTGTTTTTTACATTACCGATATTGGGGCAGATGTATCTTGTTGCTTCACGTAAGCCTTGTGTAAGCGACAATTCGCTTGGAAGTTTTGAATGAACGCCTTTCCATCGGCTTCAACAAAACAACACCGGAACTGGAATGCGGTACTATTACAACTAATTAAAAACAAACAAACAGCGGAGAAAAAGGATGTTTATCTGTTCTTACCGTTCAAGAGGGATCACGTGGCAAATGACGTTGGTCACAAGCTCAGGTCCGCTCTAATGCGCACGTACTCTACCGCCCAACTACGATTTATCCACCCTACACGAAGTATTCCTCTCCACAGCCGTCCGAGTAGCTCGCCAATCAGTTCGGACTCTAACATCATCTACCAGTTCACTTGCAGTTGCGGTGATACTTATATAGGCAAGACTGGTCGCCGACTGGCTCAAAGGGTGGCGGAACACTTCCCATTGTGGATAAGGCAGTTGCTGTCTAACCAAGGCGGAGCGAACCAAAGTATGAACCGGAACCCTGCCTCGTCTATCACCAAACACCTCATGACGACTGGTCACCAAGTGAACCCAAGCAATTCATTCAAAGTGCTATTGCGCCATATAAACAATAATGTACAGTGCTACAATAATCTGTGCTTCCGGCACAGGCGTATCAAACAACGACAACAATCCAAGGTAGCCAGTAAGCTGAGCTTCAAGCACGCAGCATAAGCTCGTCTCAATGTACTGTGGCTTTAACAGGCTTACACATGACCAATCGGAAAGGGAGGTTGCCATGAAACGTGGGCGTTCGGCCGGTGCTAGAGCAGCGCCACGCATACCGCAGACCGACAATAGCTGTGTTCCTCGATTTCAAGAGTGCGTTCGATTCAGTCGGTCGATCGATTCTGTTCGAAATACTTGCGCGGAAAGGTGTTCCCACGAAATATGTGAACATCCTTCGTGCTCTATACTCGAACACTACAGGCAGTGTCAAGGTATACGGTGTCCTATCGGATAGCTTTCCGATTACAAGTGGCGTTCGTCAGGGTTGTCCGATTTCCCCATTTTTGTTCGATTTCGTCATGGATTGTATCATGGTGTGTTCCCTTGCGGAATCTCACGATGTAGGCGTTGAAGTGCTGCCTGCTGAAAGGTTAGTTGATCTAGATTATGCGGACGACGACGATGTTGGGGCGGCCCATCAACCCTGAATAGCCTGTCCAGAGTGGTCCCATTATTTGGTATGCACTTCGCACCTTCAAAGTGCAAAGTGTTGCTGCAGCACTACCAGCCACTTGATGATCCCTTGACGCTTGCTAACGAGGAACTCCAGGTGGTTGATCATTTTACTTATCTTAGCAGCTGCATCGGCAATGATGGGCGCATAAAAACTGACGTCAGATCACGCATTGCAAAAGCCAGAGCTGCCTTCTTGAACTTGCGTCATCTTTGGCGACAGAAGAGAGTTTCCCTTCGTCTGAAAGGCCACAGTGAGGGCCGTTCTGCTGTATGGTAGTGAGATTTGGCCCCTTTGGAATGAATATCTGAGGCGCCTTCAAGTCTGATCATCGTTGTCTGCGAAGTCTTGCCGGAGTGGGATGGCACCAGCGTGTCCGCAACGATGATGTTCGTAGGCGAGTACTAGGTGGTGATAATCATGCTAGCTCCTTAGAACAACAGATAGCATTGAATAAGTTGCGTTGGCTCGGGCGCATGCTACGTATGCCTGGTCACCGCTTACCTAGGAGGGCGTTTTTTAGTCTGCCAGGTGTAGGGTGGCGCAAGGCTCGCGGTGGACAGAAGTTGACTTGGCAGCGGGAAATGAAGTCACTGACGACCAAACTGGGTGCTGTTGGTCCGTCTCGCCTTCCGGGCTGGGGTTCACGTGACTCGCCTTGTGCTTGGCTCGAAACTTTACAGGACTTGGCTAGCAACCGACACCAATGACGCGTCTGCTGCCGTCTGCTAATCGGATTGCCTGTTTAAGGTATGTTTGGTGCAGAGTTATCTGCGGGGTAATGGCTGATTATGACGCGGGGCAGTGAAAGTCGCAAGGAAGCTGTCTCGCCGATGCTGCCTTATCTTTGCACGATAGCCAGCTGTTTGTGACGGTATGTTGTCTACACAAGGTGTAGGCGCCTTGACCCTGTATGTTTGCTTAGTTCATTAAGGTTCTCAGGTAAGTTCCCCTTCTCTCCTTCTTATTCTTTATTTCGTAGGTCCTCATGGTTGTATGGCAGCGAAGCACCAATTCAAATGGCTGATGTACGGCTGTTGGTGGTGATGATGATGATGGTGTCTTACACACACAGACACACCGTGATGGTATTGCAATTGTTTCAATTGCACCTGGAGTAACATTTACAATTGTCTCCACGGACGTGGTTTCCTGTATCTGAACTCTACTCCCATGATCTCGCAACATCATCAGGTCGCATGTGGCGGTGATGAACGTCTTGCTCGCCGGTAACCGAATTCCACGGCGAGGGAGTTAAAACAGAACATCACAAACTGATAACATGAGGCGAAGGCACATGAAGTGACACTTAGGTCTGTTCAGAACTTGGAAATATAGGTCAATGCATGCACGGTTCAATACAGGTCATCTGTGTGTTTAAAGTCCAAATAAACTTAATTAACTTTGCCTCGGAACACAATTTCCATTGAGAGCCAGCTAATATAGATCGGTTGGGACAGGAAAATGAGTTGAAAAAGACGGTAAAGCGAATCACAACCATGAAACAGGAAGCGGTAGGAAGCCAACAGAGGACAGGACATTTGGGAATCTTCTACATCTTGGGAGGGCTATGGGTTTGGCGCATATCCTCGATGAACAAGTTTGTGAAGCATTGCTGTGCTCAATGTGCGAAGATCAGTAAGGCACCTGTTCGTCTGGAGCTGTGACCTAGATTACTTGCTTTGGCGGGTTGTTAGTCGTAATTTGGCAGCTATTTTGCACATGCTTCGCGACGGATGATGCTACCGTGGGAAGGGCTACCACTCTGGTGCACGTCTGATACACGTTTCCTGACAGCTTACACCGCGCTACATTGCCTGTTGGATTTCACTGGATATTTGGATGCTTGAATCCAACGGTGCGCATTGATTGATCACCCACACATGATTCATCTGTGTGGGTGCAAGCGTGTTATTGGGTTTCGGCAGTTTAACTTCTAGTTCAGAGATGTGTTTCCTTTTGATCGGATCATTGAGCTAGGAATTGATATGGTGATCCGAGGACCTGATGCATGTAATATGAAATACTCGAATCACACCATGTCCAACCAATTACTACCCTCGTACCCCACACTAGCAGCCTCGGCTGCACCGGTTACTTAAAATAAATGAGAGATCGGTGGTATAGAGGATAGCCATTTGAACAGCGGACAGTATCACCGTAAAAGAGAGCTCAGAAAAGGTCAGAGCATGAGGATAGTAGTTGGTCGGTAGAAGAGAAACGTTTCATATTACCACCCAAAGTCATCCAGCTGATTTCCATAATCCATAACTGGTGGGTACCTTGACCACATTTTCCCGAGGCTAATTTTAAGGCTTGACGCGATAATCGAGTTTCCGCTTCACTCGGATCAGAGTGAAGCGGATGCACCCCGGCCTAAACAGCTAGGACAGGGTTGACCCAACTTCAATTTAAGTACGTAAGTTAGGATCGGACCTCCTCAGTAGTCATTATTGTCACCATGCATACACCTTAGCCGAGGGTGCGAAACACACCTCAGCCAATGTGCCGCAACCCAAAAAGGAGAAGAGATTAAACAGATTACGAAAGCTAAAAGAAAACATAATGCTATATTCGCATTATGCATTGGATCGAGATCGTTCTTGGAGGCGAAGATGAACGTGAGATTAGGGACAAAGGGACTCACTTTACGAAAGCCGTTGAGCTCCGCTTCTCACCATGTTAGCTAGTGTATCCAACCACACGTGTTCTTCTTCCTTCGGACCCTAGTCTGGCAGTCATGAAACACCAACCTACGCTACGTTCGAAGTGAGGGACTTCATTCCTTTTGGCGTCCACTCCTCTTTCATCCAGACCCTGTGCGCGCAAACAACGTGTTGCGACTTACTGAGCTGAGCTGACTTACTTAGCGACTTACTGAGCTGAGCGACTTACTCGCTCTTCCTGCACCAAATACGCGACGCAGAACGCGCTCATTTCTCACGTGGTGTTCCCACCAGAGATGAGCTATGCTGCGAAGGCAACGATGCTCGAACGTAGCTAGTCTCTTTATGTCTGTCGACTTCATGGGCCATGTTTCACACTTGTATAGGAAAGTTGAAGGGACGGCTGCATTGTAAACTCTGCCTTTCAGAGCGAGAGTCATGTCGGTAGTGCATCGAGCTGATTCCCAATCTAAGAAGGCACTCTGGATACGTGTCCCCGTAACCTCTCAATCAACCAATCACCCACTCGTAAAAGCCTCTGTATCTCCATGTTGTCCCGAACGAGTAGTCGGATAAATCGGTTACAGTCACTTGGCCTGAAAATCTGGAAGCAAATATCGATAAACATACTTCGCATGTTTAAAATGTTTCGAATACTGATAGCTCGGTTTGCTAATTCAATCGTTCATTTGTTCTCTGAGCTTAGCGGTTTTATTGCAAACGTTTCACCACCATGCGAGGTGGCATCCTCAGTGCAGTGAGATGCGGCGTGTCATTTTACTGAATAAATCGTCCATCCGTTATCGACCTGCAGGTGACTTTTGAAAGTGGCAGTCTCCATTTGCGATTCATGACCTCTACCCACTTTCCCCACGACTGAAGTCGGCACCCGAGTTGTTCTGCCTTAAACCCCGCGACATAATGTTCTTTATTTCTTTCTGTTGAAGTGGTTGGTATATTGAATCGATGTTGACGCGAATGTTGATTGAGTTT